AGTCCCTCGGCCCTTAAAGGGGAAAGGTTGCCTACCCCTGGTTAAAAGGTTGTCTTATACGCCGGAAAATATGGTATTCCCCTTCCCCACCACCATTCCCATCTCCTTTTGTGTTTTGTCTTTTTCGATTGTAAGCCTGAGGGCAGGGAACCATCAAATTAATCCATTTGTAAGCTGCTCTGATAGCCTTTTGGCTGAAGAGCAGGTTATAAATACAATAATAATAATAATAATAATAATGTGCTGGTCTGCAATTTCAATGGTGGGGGCTGTGAGCAACGGCTGCACAAAAGCGTTAAAGACCCCATGTACCCAACTGGCGATGTGTGAGGCACTTATTGACTGGATAAAACTGGCTAACAATCATGTTTGATTGCAAGGGAGTAGGACTATGGTTCTCTTAGGAAGTGCAATATGTGCCACTAAGCATAGTACCGTAGGTCAAGATGTATGACTGCTCCACCCCACTTCAAGATATATGATTGCTCTGCCCCAAATCTTCTTGGGGAGAGAGGAACTTCCTTATGCCATCTTCTTTTTTCTCCTCTTTAATCTGACTTCTTCCCCCTCCTTTTTCTGCAGAAAACAAGCAACAAAACCAAAGCAGGAGATAGCAGCAGTTTTTAAAGAAGTCTTCAAAATGTTAGGAAGCTTCCTTGAATCCAAAGGCAGGATATAAAATCAATAAATAAACAAATAAATACAATTCCGATGCAACCTGATCTACGATACATCTAGGGGTAGCCGTGCTGGCCATATAACAAATCCAATAACATCCAAACAATGATACCTTTATTGGGCCATTCAATAATGCACAACTACATGTTGCAGGCTTTCGAAGTCACACTGGCTTCTTCATCAGGCAAAGAGGAGGGGAAAAAATTGAAGATGTTAGTCTTGAGCCTGCATTTTGTGTTCCTGATCTAAGTTTGGATATGGAGGGGGGCTATCTGCAAGCTGGTTCTTCCCCCTTTGGCCATGCACTCACTGGAAAACTTTGCAAGCCAAGGAAATTCAATGTCCATTTGCAATCCAAAGAAGATGTTTCCTTGGAATCCAGCATGATCTATGATAATTTGCGATAATTTGTCCTACTAATTTCTCCCCTTTTCTTTTTGTAGGGATGAAGCTGCAAAAGCCAATACAGCCGCAAGAGACAACTGCAAAGGTATAGGTGTGTTTGTATGCAAGACAAAAGCAGCCCAAGTGTGTCAGGTGCCACCTGTTTCCTGATTGTGTGGGTGGAATAGATTATGCTGGGAAGGACATGGCTGATTCACACACTAAACCTGTGTTGGGCAATGGGGGTCCTCCTGTAGTTGGATTACAAATCCCACAATCCCTCACCATTAGTCTATCTACCTGCGGCTGGTAGGCCAACAACCAGGGGAAGACTCGGAGTGTGTCCACACTGGAGAAATAAAGCAGTTTGACATAACTTTAACTGCTATGGAATTCTGGGAATTGTCGTTTCGTGAGATAGCCTTTCCTGTCAGAGCACTCTGGTGGCACAAGAAACTACAAATCCCAGAATTCCATAGCACTGAGCCATGGAAGTTAAAGTCGTGTCAAACTGCTTTATAGCTGGCAGTAGCCTTAGCTGCCTGCTCTTGCACTAAATAAATTCCACCCTGTAAAATTTTGTAGGGCCCCTGTATGGTTGGGTAAAAGAGGGAATTTCACCAGGTTACCTGGTTGCATGAAACCAATTGAATCTCCCCATTTTTGTTGTGGTTAACTGGCCTTCAGTGGACCCTGACTCATACCCCAAGGAGAACCTATCATGGGGGTTTCTTGGCAAGATTTGCTCAGAGCAGGTGTGCCATTGCCTTCCCCTGAGGCTGAGAGCATGTACCGTGCCCAAGGTCACCCAGTGTGTTTCACTGGGAATCGAACCCTGGCCTCTGGAATCCTAGTCCAACACTCAAACCACTACACCATACTGTCTCTGCTTAGGTCCTGTGACCTCCCTGATTTGAGTCCGTCCATCTGGTGTGCAATCTTCCTCTCTTTCTACTGCCTTCTACCTTTCCTAGTATTATTGTCTTTTCTAATAAGTCAGGGGTAAGCAACCTGTTCCCTTTAAGGGCCAATGGACTTCAGCTCCCAGAATCCCAGGAGCTATTGGCCAACATGGGACTATTGGCCAACACGGCTGAGGCTTCTGGGAGCTGAAGTCCCTCGGCCCTTAAAGGGAACAGGTTGCCCATTGTGGCCAAAGTAGGACAGCTTCAGCTTCATCATCTTGGCTTCCAGGGAGAGTTCAGGCTTAGAATCATAGAATTATAGAGTTGAAAGAGACCACAAGGGCCATCCAATCCAAACCCCTGCCATGCAGGAACTCCCAATTAAAGGCTTCATCTGATATTCTAGGACCAATTTGTTTGTCTTTTTGGCTATCCAAGGTATCCTAAGCACTCTTCTCCAGCACCAGAATGAGGGCCTTTGCAGACTGCTAGAAATAGTGCAAATTGAGTCCACTTTAACTGCCCTGACTCAGTGCTAAGGACTCATGGGAACTGTAGTTTATTGTGGAGCCAGAGCTCTCTGACAGAGAAGGCTCAATGTCTCAGAAAAAATTACAGTTCCCATGATTCCCTAGCACTGAGCCAGGGCAGTTAAAGTGGACTCAATTTGCACTATTTCTAGCAGTCGGCAAAGGCCCTAAGACTCTGGAGACCAGGGTTTGAATCCTATCTCTGCCATGGGAACCTAGTGAGCGACCTTGGTCAAGTCACACTCTCTCAGCCTCAGAGGATGGCAATGACAAATCCCTTCTGAGGAAACCTGCTAAGAAAACCACACAATAGGGTTGCCATAAGTCCAGAGTGATCAGACATGCCCTCTTTTTCCAGGACATGTCCTACATTTCAGCCTTCTGTCTAAGAGGAATTCCAAAATGTTCTCCATTTTGGGCAGGATTAAGATCCAAAGCATACTGCAGATATAATCCAGTTTGAGACCGCTTTAACTGTCCTGGCTCTGTGCTAGGGATTCTGGGAACTGTAGTGTTTGTGAGACATTTAGCCTTCTCTGTCAGAGAGAGCTCTGGTGCCACAACAAACTACAATTCCCAGGATTCCCTAGCACTGAGCCAGGGCAGTTAGTCTTAAACTGGATTATTTCTGCAGTGTGTTTTAGACTTAGGGTCAGGTGAAGCCAGCACTATGGTCCAAAACACACTGCAGAAATAATCCAGTTTGAGACTGCTGTAACCGCCCTGGCTCAGTGCTAGGGAATCCTGGGAATTGTAGTTTTGTGGGGCATTGAACCTTTTCTGTCAGAGAGAGCTCTGGTGGCACAATACACTACAGTTCCCAGGATTGCCTAGCACTGAGCCAGGACAGATAAAATGGTCTCAAACTGGATTAAAACTGATCTCAAAGGTCCAACACACACTGCAGAAACAATCCAGTTTGAGACCACATTAACTGCTCTGGCTCAGTGCTAGGGCATCCTGGGAATTGCAGTTTTGTGAGACATTTAGCCTTCTCTATCAAGAGATCTTTAGTGCCACAATAAACTACCTGGCTCAGTGCTAGAGAATCCTGGGAATTGTAGTTTTTTGGGGGGCAGCAGAGGTCTCTCTGACAGAGAAGTCTAAATATCTCACAAAAGTACAATCCCCAGAATTCCCTAGAACTGAGTTAAATGGACCATTGCCTTAGAGTCAGGTGAAGCCAGCACTATGGTCCAAAACACACTGCAGAAATAATCCAGTTTGAGACTGCTGTAACTGCCCTGGCTCAGTGCTAGGGAATCCTGGGAATTGTAGTTTTGTGGGACATTGAGCCTTCTTTGTCAGAGAGAGCTTTGGTGCCACAATATACACTACAGTTCCCAGGATTGTCTAGCACTGAGCCAGGACAGGTAAAATGGTCTCAAACTGGATCAAAACTGGTCTCAAAAGGTCCAACACACACTGCAGAAACAATCCAGTTTGAGACCACTTTAACCGCCCTGGCTCAGTGCTAGGGAATCCTGGGAACTGCAGTTCTGTGAGACAGTGAGCCTTCTCTGTCAGAGAGAACAATGGTGCTACAATAAACTACAATTCCCAGGAGCCAGGGCAGTTAAAAGCGGTCTCAAACTGGATTATTCCTGCAGTGTGTTTGGGCCTGGCTTCTCTTCTATTTCTTCTTCTTCCTGGGCCCGCCTTGCCCTGCCCTCAGCTGTGGGAGTTTCCTCCTTCTTCCCTTTCGGTTTCAGCCTCCATTTTTTCCTTCCCCTTGACTTTAAGCCTCCTCAATCTGAACGCAGAGGCCCCTGGGCCGGGACTAGAGGGCCCATCATCCCCTTTCCCAGTATGTCCGGGCCTTTGTCGGCCCCTCTCCTGCCCTTGCACCGCCTGGCGGAGCCTCTCCTGAGGGAGCTGAGCGACTCCTTGGACCGGGCGCCGCCGGGGAAAGGATGGAGGGACTTGGCCCAACTCGCCCAGGGCAGCCAAGGAGGGCTCCCCAGGCTCAGGCTCAGGTGAGGGCCGGGGCCTGGCAGGGTTAAGAGGGAGGAGAGTGTGTCCTTGTGGTTGTGGTTTTGTGGTGGTTGTGAGGTTGGTTGCCTCAGGTTGGGAGAAAGAAGGGAGAGGACTCCCTTGGAGCAGGGGTAGGCAACCTTTCCCCTTTAAGGGCCGAGGG